GCGCACCATGGGCCAGCTAATCGATATGCTGCGCTTTGGCTTGCGCGTCCGGTGGCAACATTGGGAGGCGAATGCGACTTAACGCCCGGGTGCTCTTCCAAGTTCATCTTTCACAGGGCCGCCGGAGTGGGCGGTTCCATGTTTTGCCATGCGCCTTCGTTCCCACAGTCGGACGGCTGACATGTAACGCGCGGTGCATACGAGACGTTTTTCCGTAACGTTGACAGGTGGACGTCGCTTGAAGCGACGGGCCCCGCCTGGTCTGATTCAACATCGTTTTGTATCACATCCTTGTGCCACTTTTGTTCTAAGCTTTTTCCACGGGGATGTCCTACGACTGCTACTTTTACTGTAACCAGTTTCGCTACCACTACGACTACTACAGCTACCACTACCACCACCACCACCATTACTATTACTACTACTACTACTACTACTACTACTACTACTACTACTGGTACTAGTACTAGTAGTAGTACTACTACTACTACTACTACTACTACTACTACTACTACTACTACTACTACTACTACTACTACTACTACAACAACTACTACTACTACTACTACTACTACTACTACTTCTTCTACTACTACTACTACTACTACTACTACTACGACTACTACTGATGTTATTCGGATTATTACCACTACCACTGCCGCTACCACTACCACCACCACTACCACTAGCACTGATACTACCGCTACTATCACTACAACTGCTGCTGCTAGAACCGTCTTGATTATTGATTATTATGACTGCCGCGACGACAACTATTACTACTACTACCACCACCACTAGTACTACGTACGTACGTACGTACGTACGTACGTACGTACGTACGTACTACTACTACTACTACTACGTACTGCTACTACGTACTACTAAGTCGTACTATGTACTACCACGTACTACCGCGGAGTACTACGTACTACCACGTGCTGGTTCGTACTACTACGTAGTACTACGTGCTACTACGTACTACTTCGTAGTGCTACGTAATATCATGTACTATGACGTACTACGTACGTACGTGCGTCATACTTCTTTTATTTTTGCAGTTGTATTTCTTATTATTACCACTTCTATTACCGCTTCTGGTACTTGTACGATTACTACTACGATAATTTCGACTACTACTCTTTTACTACTCGTAGCACTCCTATTAGTGCTACTACTACTACGACTACTATTACAACTAACCACTACTACTACTACTACTATTACTACTACTACTACTATTAGTTGTCTTATTACGACTACCACAACAACTACTATTTCTACGACTATTATTATCAGTACTACTACTACTACTTCTGCTACTATTCTCACTCTTACCACTACGCCTAACACGATTGGTTACTTCTACTACTACGACGATTACTACTACTCCTACTACTACAGCTACTGCCACTACTTTTACGACTGCTACTGGTAGTAGCTTTTATTGTTACGACTAATTCGACGACTTTTGCTACCACCTACTAGTACTCTTACTACCGGCGTTTGCCACTATTTTTGCTAATTCTACGACTATTTCGAGAACAAACATTATTATTATTACTACTACCGACCACTACAATTACTATGACTACTACTACGACTATTACCACTAACTACTACGACTACTACGACTACTACGACCTGTACTTAAACTACTACAAGTACTATTACTACTTCTACTACTGCTATTACTAGTACTGTTCTTATTACTTCCACTACTACGAGTACTTTTGCTACGACTACGACTACGACTACTACTGCTACTACTACAACCACTACTGCTACCATTACTGCCATGACTACTATTACTATTACTAGTATTATTACTACTACTTCACTACTACTACTACAACTACTACTACTACCACGTCTACTACTACTACTACTACTACTACTACTGCTACTACTACTACTACTACTACTACTACTACGGCTACTACTACTACTACTACTGCCTCTACTGCTACTACTGCTGCTACTACTACTACTACTACCACTACTGCTACTAGTACTACTACTACTACTACTACTACAACTACTACCACTGCTACCACTATTACCACTACTACTACTACTACCACTACTACTACTACCACTACTATTACTACTACGAGTACTGCTACGGCTACTACTACTACTACTACTACTACTACTACTACTACTACTACTACTACTACTACTAGTAGTACTAGTACTACTACTACTACTACTCCTACTGCTACTACTACTGCTATTACTACTACTACTACTACTACTACTACTACTAATGCAACTGTTACTATACTACTACTACTACTACTACCACTACTACTACTACTACTACTACTACTACTGCTACTACTACTGCTGCTTCTACTACTACTACTACTACTACTACTACCACTACTATTATCACTAAGTGGTACTACTACTGAATGCTTCTGTCGCTAAGTGGCGCACGGGAATGAACAATCTATCCTCGGCGTCCCCCAGTGCTAAGATAACGCTCCGTGCTGGGCGGGGGGCGATGCGCCTTGGTGGACCATTCGCTAGGACGGCCGACGAACATCAAGTTCTTATTGGGGATTGCAAAAGGAATCGTACAGGACACGGGATGAGAGAAGAAAGAGAAACAGGAGGAGGAAGGAAAGGCGGTGCGGAGGCAATAATTACCGTCGGGAGAAGGAAAAGCGGTCGAAGGGGGGACAATACGTATTTATTTCTTGCAGCTTGGTGCGGCGCTACAGATATCGCTCCGCTGAACCTGCCCTTGTGGATTATATGTACTTTCGTTTCGGTGCTAACGATGTCGCAGGGGGGGTTGTCAATTGCGGGATGTGGTTGATCCTCGTCTTCGCCCCGTCTTCGGAGCCTGGGAGCGACGACCTGCGGCCAGTTGCGAGCTGGTTCGTTTTGCCCTAAGAGCGTTTTGTTAGATGGCCCTAGTGGAAAAACATGGGAGAGTCTCACAGGAAAACGGGGAGTCCGAACCCGCCCAGTCCAGCGGCGTTCTGGCAGCCGCTTCGCTTCAGATTTGGGTGCAATTTATTTAGGAGTCGTGCTCTCGCCTCAATGTTGGCTGCACTTTTGGTTTGGATGGCCACGATCCTTTGTAGACAACACACTACGGTGCACATGGCCGTGCGGTCACCCCCTGTCCAGGCTGCATCTGTGCTAGGAGTCCTCAGGAACAACTAGGGAGGCACATTTCACTCGCCGACCCATTCCTCGACCCGCCTCATTACCTTTGCTGCTATCAGGGTGTTTTGCGAGCGTGCTTCCTCGAGTTCGGCCTCCAGGGGCCATTGTTTGGCTTCTGGGGCCATCGAAAATGGATCCTGGGCGAAGAACTGAACCTGGGGAAGGGGTCGGGACCTTCCGGATCCCAGCATTGATTCGATCATACCCTATTTGTCGCCCGGAGTGGGTACGGGAAGAATCGGTACCATGCCCAACATCAGATGCTGTCCCAAACCACCAGTGGCCGCCGTTGGGCAGACGGCCGTCTGCTTCGAGTGGGCACAGGCCGCGGCGGGGCGGACAGCGAGTCCTGTTCAAAACGAGCAGGAACTGTTGTTGGGCATTGTATCGGCGTCACCCCTAACATACTTCTGCTATATCTTCGTCGCCCGCCCCCAGGGGCGACGCGCGCACCGAGAAATCTTCTATTATATGCGTCGTGGTGGGCGCTTTCTGGCCACACCGCTCGGGAAACGGTATGCTACAAAATGGGTGTACGACATGCTCGGGTCGGACGCGCGCTTCCAAGGAGAACATGTAGTATTAGTATGTCTCTGAGCGTCTAAAGGAACTGTTGTTGGGCATTGTGCCCATTCTTCCCGTAACCATGTCTAGAATGGCCCCGAGCTATCGCCCCGAGGCCCTCTCTTCTAAATTGGAAAAGAAAAGAAATTCAGAATTCAAAAATTCGGAATTATTTTTTCCGAAGCCCCTAGAAGGGGGCGATCGATCGGGGCCGCTCAACCCATGTCGGTCGTCCCGAGAGTCCTCGGACGCGCCTGAGTCGGGGGGGGGGCGACCGGCTCTCAGGATCAACGCTGAGGGGTCTGCGGCCGCTTGCGCAGCCCAACTCCCTGCAGGGGTCCCGTCGCCGCCGGGGGCATCGGACGCCCCCGCTGGGTGGGGTTCGCCCGGACACGGGCATCCTCCAAGCCGGCCAGTTTTTCAAACATCTCACCTGCAGGGGCAGGGCTCGCACGCGGCCTGGCCGCCTGGACGAGGAGGAGACGTGGGCATCGACGCCCGTGTGAGTGCATCTGCACCCCCATGATTGGTCTGGTTCATCCGTTGTGGCTCAGGCCAATCTTGGCTGCGGGCAGTACCTCGTTGGATGCAAGGCATCTTGCGACAGTCTCGTCCAGATGTCTCCTCCGCCTCCCCTTCCTCTTTGCGTCCTTTCGAGGCGGCGGTCAAGGACTATGGGAGGACACAGCGATGGATCGCAGCGCTGCAGCTCTTCTGCGAAACATCCCGAACATGCGTGGAGGTCAGCGCAGGTCACTACATCGCGATTGTTGGTGCATGCGGAAGAGCCAGACAGTGGCTATGGGCGCTGTCGTTTCTCAGTGAGATGTTCGAGAAAAGAGTTGAGGCCAACGCGATCAGCTACAGCGCTGGGATCAGCGCGTGCCAGAAAGGCAGGCAGTGGCAGCGTGCTCTGTGGTTGCTCAGCGAGATGCGGAAGACGAAATTGGAACCAAATATAATTAGCTACAATGCTGGGATCAGTGCGTGCGATGAGTGCGACCAGTGGCACCAGGCTCTGTTGCTGTTCAGCGAGATGCGGGAGGCGAAAGTGAAACCCGACGTCATCATCTATAGCGCCAGGATCAGCTCGTGCGAGAAAAGCGGGCAGTGGCAGCGGGCCTTGTGTTTGTTCAGCGAGATGCGGGAATCGACTTTGGAGCCTGACGTCATCGTCTACAGCGCTGGCGTAAGCGCGTGTGGGAAAGGCATGCAGTGGCAACACGCGCTATCGCTGCTCAGCGACTGTTGTGATGCCAGGTTGCAGCCGAACGTCGTGGCTTACAATGCTGGCATCAGTGCGTGTGGGAAAGGTGAGCAATGGCAGCAAGCCCTGTCGCTGCTCAACGAGATGCGGGAGGCAAAGTTGGAGCCTAACGTCATCAGTTGCAGCGCTGGGATCAGCGCATGTGAGAGAGGTGAGCAGTGGCAGCCGGCTTTGCTGTTGCTCAGCGAGATGTGGGAGGCGAAGTTGGAGCCCAACGACATCTCACCTATAATACGAGGCATTCCGCGTGACAGTACGGCCATTCGGTCCACCCTCGTGGGGCCCTGGGGGGCGGCACCTCAGCGGATTCGCCCGTGGGGACGGCCCCAGATACTGTAGCCCTGGCAGAGCCCACGGTAGCCTCCAGGGAGCCTTCCAGACGGTCCCAGGGAGCCCCAGAGCGTCAAAACTGTTCAGAGGGACTCCAAGGACCGCTCCAAGACGCCCAAGGTGACCCCAAGGCGGTCCAAGAGGCCTCCAAGACGCCGAAGAGGCCTCCCAAGAGGGCCCCAAGAGGCTGACATCATGGATTTTCTTGGGGTTTTGAAGGTTTTTGGCGTTCTCGCTTCTTAGGCTTTCCGACGCTCCTAGACGGCCCAAGAGGCCCCAAAGGTCGCCCCAAGACGGCCCAAGAGGCCCCCAAAGGCGGCCCCAAGACGGCCGAAGAGGGCCCCAAGTCGGTCCAAGAGGCGCCCAAGATGGCCCAAAAGGGCCCCAAGACAGTCACAAGAGTGGCCCAAGAGGGGGACCGCGATCTGAAAGTTCGAGCTCTCCGCCACGAGGAGGCCCCAGAAGGCCCCAAGAGGGCCCCAAGAGGCCCCGAGAGGCCCCCCAAGAGGCCCCCACGAGGCCCACGAGAGGCCCCCGAGAGGCCTCAAACCTGCTTCCACGAGGCCTCCCAGGACCACGAGATCCCAACGAATACTGCAGAGGCCTCTGACCCACAACCCAGGCACGGTAGCGGGATGCGCCGTGGGTCAGTAGATGTAGCCCTGGCGGAGCCCACCGTTGGCCTCCAGGGAGCTGCCTCTCACAATCTGCCTCTCAAGTCTCTGACTCAGCGCCATCGCGTAGATGGACACCCTTGCGTGGCAAGGGAGTTGCCATGCAACTCGTTGTATGGCAACTCCGTTGTTGCGCGAGGTACGAGCCCCCTAGAAGTCACTCATTCTTCTTCTTCTTCTTATCATTATTAGTATTATTACTATCATTTTTATTCAAAATTATTCTTATTTTATGGGCCCAGAGATCCCCAGAGAAGGCCAAAACGGCCTCACAGGGACCCAGTACGCTTCCACAGGCCTCCGCGTGCCAGCACGAACCAGGGCTGCACCGCCGCCGGGCCCGAGGGGGGCGCACCCCGGCGCCTCCTCCGAGCTCCCAATCCCGAGACGCTTTCGACGGACTCCCGGAAGGAGCCGCAGACGCGCCCGAGAAGCTCCCAGAAGGCCAAAGAGGCTTCGGCAAGAGCCTCCAAGAGTCTTCTCCTCTCAGGGTGCTCTGAGATTTGCTACTTCATGGAAGCGCCGCCAGAGTGGAAAAACACGCCCCACACCTCTTGGGACACCTTTCGCCTGGGAGGGGGTGCCCAAAAAGTGCTTCTGGACTGAGCCGCCAACGCCCCGGAACGCTTTTTTCAGGGACCCCTCTCGCACGGCGCGTGTCCCAGGAGGTGAAGGTTTTTGTTGTTGTTGTTGTTGTTGTTGTTGTTGTTGTTGTTGTTGTTGTTGTTTGTTTTTTTTGTTTCGTTTTTCTCTTCCTTTTCCCATGCGGATTACTTTCCCCTCCTCGACCTTCTCCTGCCCCTCGTTGCCCACGACTCCCTCTGCACAGTGGCTGCCGTCGTTTGCCGGTCACGTCGCTCCCCCTCCCTCTCAGGCCACTGCCGATGCTGCTATATCCGCTGCTGCTGCTGCAGGCGCTGCTCTGGGCGCCGACAGAATCATCAAGCACCCAGCTCGCCCTGAAGCACTACGCAGCAGCAAGCGCACTCACAATACTCTGGTGCTTGTGGACGGGGTTTCGAGGCACTGACGGGGGCCTGCGTTTTCAAGGCTTCTCTTAAGGCAGAGAGAGAGAGAGAGAGACAGTGGGTGAATGAGTGAGTGAGTGGTATTATATATACACATACATACATACATGCATACACATACACTCATATATATATATATATATATATATATGTATGTGCACCTATATATACACATATATATATATATATATTGATGGGCGGGTGGGCATAGCGGTTCCACGTTTTTTCCTGTCAACTTCACTCATCCTTTGAATTACTTATTAATGAATCCTTAGTAAGGAACCCTTCGTAAGGAGTCCTTGGGAAGGAATTCTTAGTAAGAAATCTTTATTCAGGAGTCCTCAGTCAGGAACCCTTAGTAAGGTTTCCTTACGGGGAAACCCTGACTAAGGAATCCTTGATAGTACACTCGCATTTAGGAACCCTTGGCGAGGAACCCTTGTTCTGGAGTCCTTCGTGAGGAATATTACGTGACGGATCCATAGTAAGGAACCCTTCCAAAGGAAACCCATGATGCTTTAATCACGGATCAGCAATCAGAGCCCTTCGTACGGAATCCTTGCGAAAGGTTTTTAGTACGGGATCCTTGATAGAAGGGTCCGCAACAACGAGTTCTTAGTAGGGAATCCTTTTTTAAGGAATCCTCAGTAGGGAGTACTGCGTAAGGTTTCCTTATAAGGGAATTCTTATAACGGACTCCCTGATAGCGCGTCCTGGCTACCCTGAAATAGGAATCCTTACGAAAGAATCCTTGGTAAGGAATCTCATATAGGGGAGGAACATGTCGCATAAGGGACCTTTAGAAAGGAACCCTTACGAAGCTACCCTCACTGGGGAATCCTTAGCAAGGTATCCGTAGTAAGGCATGCTTCTTACGGTATCTTTACCGAACTACCCAGGGACGTACCCAACCATGTGTACACATGAGGCGACTATACATCGGACCGCTCAACACAAAAGCGAGTACTGAAGGATCCGCCGTGCCCTTGAACGATTCGCCAACGAACGCCGGGCCAGAATCACATGTTCACATCTGCGGCGTCGCTCTGAAGAATCAGATCGTTAGCAGGAAGGCGGCCACGAGGGAGTGTGGAAATTCAATAAGGAGAGACGCTTGGAGATATAATTCGTGGGAGCAGCGCCGCTGGACCCCCAACGTCGCAACCTCGCCCCCAGAGGACGGCGAGGTCTCATTCGCATATCGCAGCCCCCCAGATACGGCGAGTTCTCATGGTGATCTGCGTAAATCACACCTCCGCTGGGTCTCCCAGAAGCCCACGAAAGTGGCGACAGTTTCGCAGAGCGCATTCCCCCGGGTATTCTCGAGGTCTCATGGTGATCTGCGTGAGACGCACCTCCGCTGGACCTCCCAGGAGCCCACGAACGTGGCGACATTTTCGCAGAGGCCTCCAGGGACGACGACGTCTCATGGTAATCTGCTTGACACACACCTCCGCTGGACCTCCCAGGAGCCCGCGAAAGCTGCGACAGTTTCGCAGATCGCAGCCCCCCAGGGACGGCGAGGTCTCATGGTGGCCCCCGTGGGACACCCCTCCGCTGGGCTTCACAGGAGCCCAGGAACGTGGCGACAGTTGCGCAGATCGCAGCCCCCCAGGGACGGCGAGGTCTCATGGTGGTCTCCGTGGGACACCCCTCCGCTGGACCTCCCAGGGGCCAGCGAAAATGGCGACAGTTTCGCAGACTGCAGCCCCCCCAGGGACGGCGAGGTCTCATGGTGGCCCCCGTGGGACACCCTTCTGGTGGACCTCCCAGGAGCCTACGAAAGTGGCGACAGTGTCGCAGATCGCAGCCTCCCAGGGACGGTGAGGTCCCATGGTGGTCCCCTTGGGACGCCCTTCCGCTGGAATTCCAGGAACCCACGAAAGTGGCAACAGTTTCGCAGATTGCAGCCCCCCCAGGGACGGCGAGGTCTCATGGTGGTCCCCGTGTGCCACCCCTCCGCTGGACCTCCCGGGAACCCACGAAAGTGACGACATTTTCGCAGATCTCAGTCTCCCAGGGACGGCGGGGTCTCATGGTGGTTCCCGTGGGACACACCTCCGCTGGACCTCCCTTGGGCCCACAACCGTGGCGACAGTATCGCAGATCGCAGCCCCCCGGATGGCGAGGTCTCATGGTGGCCCCCGTGGGACACCCCTCCGCTGGACCTCCCAGGAGCCCAGGAACGTGGCGACAGTTGCGCAGATCGCAGCCCGCCAGGGACGGCGAGGTCTCATGGTGGTCCCCGTGTGACACCCCTCCGCTGGACCTCCCAAGAGCCAACGAAAAAGGTCTCATGGTGGTCCCCGTGTAACACCCCTCTGCTAAACCTCCCAGGGGCCCTCTAAATTGGCAACAGTTTCGCACGAGGCAGGAGGCAGAAGGCATGCGGGAGGAGAGAGGAAAAGGAGGGAGAAGGGGGGCGGCGGGAGGAGGGGGAGGAGAAGGATAGGTGGAGACCACAGTGCAGTATTCAAAATGAGAACCCAACCATGGGAGGGTTGGGAATGAATCCATCTTAAAGGATCCTCGGTAAGGAATCCTTCATGACGAATCTTGGCTAGGGGGCCCTTACGAATGAGCCCTCAGTCGCGCCTTCTTGGTAAGGGCTCCGTAGTAGGGAACCCTTAGTGGGGAATTCGGACTGAGCAATCATGACGGGGAAATCCTTCGAACGCAATCCTCAATAGTATTTCTCAGCAAGTAACCCTTCAGACGGAATCCTCAGTAAGTGATCCTCACTAAGGAACTTTTTTGAAGGAGTCCTTAGTAGGGAGCTGTGCATCCGATTTCCTCGAGGGAACTAAATAGTTCGTGATCGTGAATCTTGACTACCTTTAGTAAGGAATACGTATTCGGGAGTCCTTCGTAAGGAATCTTACATAGAGGGATCCCCAGAACGTGAACCTTATTGAAAGAATCCCAGGTCAAAAGGGGTCCTCAGTGAGAGCTTCTTCATGACGGGTCCCGACGAGAGCCCTACCGGTGGGAAACCGTTCGTGCGGAACCCTCAATCAGGAATTCCCATTATGGGGACCCCCAAAAAGGAACCCTTGGTACGGAGTCCCCACGAGTGAACCTTCTGAATGATACCTTGGTCGGGAACCATGAATAAGGTTTCCATACGACGGAACCCTTATGGAGGAACCCTT